TGAAAAGGAGGCAGAATTGTATTGTAAACTCATTATGCCTCCTTGGTGTGGTGTTGCGCCTTTACGCATAGAAACTGGGCGTTACGAAGGCTTAGCTGTATTGGAACGAAATTGCCAGTTCTGTGACAGTATTGAAGACGAAAGCCGTGTCATTCTTGATTGCTTTGTGTACGATGACTTGCGACAATCATTATTTGATAAGACTAAAACGGTAGATAATGCATTTGTGCAAATGTCTAAAAATGAACAATTAATATTTCTGTTCACTAAAACTGAAATGATACGTTAATGTGCCAAAACCTGTTTTAACATTCTACAACGTCGTCTTTTATTGTCTTGTAAATAATGCCAATATACTTGCTTTAAACATGATAATGTATTTTTACCCAGGTGAAGGTAATCATTGCTAATCAGGTCATGCAAGATCTTATCTTGGATGATAATCAGTAGTATATGCATCTCTTTACCCCCAAGACTGCGCATGCGCGGCGGCCATTTTGTTTCCTATTAATAGTAACTCATTTGCTCAGAAGAAATGACCTCAATATACATACGCGGTGGCCGTGTTGAATAACAGACGCGCGGCGGCCATTTTGGATTCTTTTTTAAAAATGACATCATCACGTTATAAATAGAAATAAAAAATATCTCCCGGAAGTATACGGAGCTGACTTGTATACACGATCTAAAAGCTTGAATCGCGGACATTGAAGGTCAGGTCCTCGGCCCTAGACGGGGAGATAATCACCATTATTATAACTACAGATAACCTTTGTATAAATAAATGCTTAACTACACATATCAATTAATAAAATCATTGTTCGAATAAAGTAGAATCTCTTAAAAAAATGCAAACGGCTTGATTATATTTTTAATATGTTTATAATAAATTCTTATTTATACATTCAATAAAAAATATTACTTGTTGACTCCTCGGCGACCCGAATCCAAATGACACAAATCATCAGTGTATTATTTCTAAATGCTCTGATCACGAGTGTAAAGTCGCCACAACGTATGGCGTGTGTTTATTTAGGGACGGAAACACTAACAATGGTTTATTGAAATGTTAAAGTTAATCCCTTTAAACGTAGCCACTCGGTCTGGCGTATGTTTATTTAGGGACGGATATTGCGGACAATGCTTTCATTCAACTGTCAAAGTTTATCCCGTCTAAAGTAAAAGCGGGTAAGCAATAAGCTTTTGAAGTGTCAGTTTTACAACTTGGGCATAATTTTAAACTCATTTTCAAAAAGAAATGCCAATTGTTTTGAAAACTGATCATCACGAATGTGCAAAATTATAAAAAAACTATTATCAATGTTAACTAAAACCGAACAAAAATACAACAGAAAAAGCGTTTTTCGTCTTTTGTGCAAAATTTTACGGTATACATTTTGATTTTTTTTTTCGCATCAAATGATAGACCTGACAGAATGCTTCAAAATAAACCCTAGGTTCTCGATTCGATTTTTAGCCGTTCTTGAGTTATGGCCCTTTAATGGTTTTTAAACCAGTTTTTTAAAGTTCATAAAACGCTTAGATTTATATGCCGTTTGAAAGATCTCTGCAAGTAGATACAGAAAATGTATTATTATATGGATCTATCTCTTACTATTTCTGAGATAGGAGAGTTTTAATATGGCAGACAAAATCACTCATGCGGAAAAACGCGCATAACTTTTTCGTTTATGAACGAAACATAGTCGTGTTTGGTATCAAATTGAAGGTCTTGACGAGTACATTCAGACGCTGTTGATAATAAAGTTCATACTGGAAGTCAAAATCACTCATGCGTAAAAATATATATATTGGTTACTAGAGCAACCGAATACGATATGATTTTTAATTGTTGACAACCAATTGAAAGAACAGTTCAATACCTTTAATTTACACCCCCATTGTCGATTCGATTTTCAACTGTTTACAGAGTTATTACGTAACAGCTATTTTTTAAAACCCAAATTTTCAAAGATTACAAAACCTTCAATTTATATACGTTAAAAAGATCTCCATGAGTAGATTTAGAAAATGTATAGGTTTATGGGTCTATCATTATGAGTTACTGAGATATTACAGATATAGACTTAGTGTATTTTAACCACCGATGTTAGATAAAGCGTTATTGCACTAAATTGTTTGAAAAATATTCAAACGAGTGTGGCGTCCTTATTTATGGGTCGATTTTATCCATCTTGGTATCAAATAAAGGTATTTAAGAGTACTTTCAGACGCTGTTGATAGTAAAGTTCATACTGGAAGTTAAAATTACTCATACGTAATAAAATATATATTTTTTATATTGAACTTACTATAATTCACTTATGCATGAATCGATTTTAATGATATTGGTCAAAGAAAAACAAGGTATGATTTTCTATTCATAGGTCATGAAGTCATGAGCTAAAAATAACTTGCAATCAAATGCTTGAATAAACTGACCAATCTGGAGAAACCTTCATGTATAAAGAAATACAGAATCTAAGATTTTTCACATTCTGTCTTTAGAATTCTAAACCCTCAAGATGGACTATGATGATTTCGGGACTGAATATACACCTACAGACTTGTGTCAAGTCGACCAAATGGAACAAGCATTCGTGACATTAAGCTCAAAAACTACTGAGGAACTTAATACTCGGGCAGAACTGAAAAATTATTTTTTAAAGAACGCGGTACCTAGTTCATTGTCAATGTTGGTAATAAGTATGGGTGTTCCTTTCCGGGTGTATGACTGTATAGAGGTCGATTTTCAACGCAAGTGTTTACATTGAATGAATGAACTGTTTAATGTATGGTATCCACGCGCAAAAAGAAATAGAACAGAAGAATGGATTTTACCTGTACATATACTGGTTCATGTAAAGTATACACATCACCCATTTTTATATTCAATGCCTGTATCCGATACAAATATGAAAGAATTCGTTCACGAAAATGGACAACAAATTTCTAAAGTTATTGATCATATTCACAGTGTGTTGGAGAAAAGAAGCTCTATCTTGAGAGAGAACAGTTTAAACTGAAAACACGAATGCATTAAAGCCCATTATGTAAAATGATATATAACTTTGTAATTATATATGTTACCATATAGAAAATAAACATATTTGACTTGAAGTAGTATTTGTCTTCTTTATTTTTTTAAGCGTATCAATCAATTACATTTACATGGTATCATTATACATAACAAGGCAATATTTTTCTTTACAACCTTTTATTGGGTACCTTTACATTCATTATACATGAAACTAAAATAAAATCGAATAAAATCGTCATTCAATTTCCTGCATTGCACATCAAATTGTGTTAAAAGGTCCTTTATGTTTCTATACATGATGTAATATACACAATATAGTCCGCATATTTTTCGAATTTGAATCCTGTATTTGACTGCAATTCATCCAGTAAGGCTCTTTTCAACAATAACTCAAAGTGAACAGTATACTGACTGGGTCGTTTACTCAATGAATTAAAAGACTTGTCTGGTCCACGACCAAATATTTTCCAGATCCTTCACTCGTGTCTGTATTTGAAATCACAAATCTTTCCTTTTTGTTTATGAATTTCAACAGCCGCACACACTGTCACTAGGTACTAGTATCTTTTCAATATATTTTCTAGCTGGTAATTATCCATTTTAGAAAATGAACCGAGTCCAGTCAATATCCGTTTTACGCTTTTTAGGCGCCGACTTTTCTGTATTGGAATCACGTAATCGTTTTACTTCCGACTTTGCCATTTCAACCGCTTGTGTCACGCGGCTAAACATATTGACCACAGGGCGTTGTGCATTTTGAAGCTTCTCTTCCGTTTCTTTAAGCTTTTTCTCCGTTTCTTTGAGCTTCGTTTCTAGTGTCACGAGCCTTTTACGCGAATTACCGCTACCGATAATGTAACGGCCTCTATGATCGGGTGTCACGTAACTGTCTCTCAAATCTTTAAAATGCTGATACCATTTCTCTGAGTCATCTATATACGGCACCAATTTTTGTTGTGTATGATCGTACACCTCTATGGAACCCATATTGTGTTTTGAAAGTAAATGAGCCAATATCATTCTTACGGTATTTTTATTCTTCATCTAATAAGTGATCTTCATCGTCATCATCTTTATTATTCTCACCCATTGATTCAATTCTTGATGTCGTATTGGGCATAACGTCTCAAACAGTCTTTTCTAAGTTTAACGCTTTGTCGGATAGATTCTTCAATTGTCATGTTGTGATGATAGTCTAAGTTTCTTCGCTGAACTGGAAGAATTTGTGCAGCTGAAGACGGGGTATTTCTTGTATGCGTAAAAAGTCAATGCAAAAATGGGATTATTAATTTTGTCTCATTTCTTTCTCAATTATAACATAATTGACTCGGATTCCATCATATTTGGTAATGGTTAGCTTCCTTATTTCTTTACAAATTAAAGGTTTTTAAATTTTCATCCTATGGTTTGCGTTCTTACTCTTCTTATTCCGCTTACGGACCCGTAAAGAAAGATTTTTTATATTTTCGTTCGTCTATGATCCATCCACTCTCCTCTAAATCTCTTCCAATCATTCATTAATATTGTAGACGTTCTGCTCCACTAATCATTTGCGGAAACCGAGGCTGTCTTGTCTACTGTCGTTTCAAATATTTTCGGCAAGTTTTGGGTAGTAGAGATTACCCTACAATACCGTGCCCCGGTTTCATGCGCTCGTTCGAACGTTTCAAATTATATAGAGGAAGAATATATTTCCTCGCTAAGTAGCACATGCTGTCTGTCAATAGGGTTATTGAATAATACTAGGTACTGCGTATTCAACGCAATATCTCTGCAGGCTTTTCCTTGAGGAAATAAATTTTGAGTCAGATACACGAAAGATATGTTCCTGTGGTGACTGCCTTTGGTAAAAAGATCGGCAATTCTCTGGTCACATTTGGCCTCTGTCATCAAATCGTCAAAAAACGATCAAGTTCCTTTTACGCCGTCAATATACTCTGGACTATTCAAGTAGTCGGGAATGCCATGTACAAATCTATCCCGGGTATTCTACGCTGAAGTTCGTCGTATAGAATCTGCCATTGACCGTAACACCAAATGATGCGCTCCGGTGGCAGACTTTCTATATCGGATAAAAGCAATGTTTTTGTCCATTCAGTTTTTCCGCTACCGCTAGGCCCGGAGACGACCATCGAAAACGGATGCTAAAACGTCATCTTTTCTGACCCAGGGTTATTTGTGGTGATGGATGGTTATCTCTTACAATTTTGTCAGTCTCGTGCAGGTTACGATGATGTCTCAACATGGCGTCGCGTCTTGAGAAAAGTTGTTGACAAATTGGACATTGATTCATTATTAAAAAAAGACACAGTAGTACACTGACGTATTCGTTGGAGTGAAGTGTTGTTGTTGTTGGTGGTGGTGGTGAGATGGTGGTGGTGGTGGTTGTGGTGGTGGTGGTGGAGGTTGTGGTGGTTGCGGTGGTGGTGGTGGTGGTGATGGTTGTGGTGGCGGTGGCGGTGGCGGTGGTGGTGGAGTAGGTGGTGTTGGTGGTGGTGGTGGTGGAGGAGGTGGGAGTGGTGGTGGTGGTGAAGGTGGTGGTGGTTGCGGTGGTGGTGGTGTTGGTGATGGTTGTGGTGCCGGTGGTGGTGGCTGTGGTGGTGGTGTTGGTGGTGGTGGAGGTGGTGGTGGTGGTGGTGGTGGTGGTGGTGGTGAAGGTGGTGGTGGTGGTGAAGGAGCAGGAGATTAATAGAAGACAAATCCTGTTTCCAGTCATACATGTTTATTGATAAAATATACGCAGATAAACATATTCTTTACAAAGAAACACAAAAGATATGTTACAATACAGTAGTACACTATCAATGTTATGGTTATACAAACGAATGTCAACATTTTTTCGTCTAATTTGATACAGTAGATGTCGTTGAACTTAAACCACCGAATCCTCCAAAACCGCAAGGTGTTGACCTAGTTGTTGATACAAACGCGCCAAATCCGCCTATTGGGGGCGGTTTTTGTTGAGGAGCGCGCTACTATTTTAATATATTCGCAATTGGGTGACCACTTATGATGTTCTCTCAATGCGATGTCCGATCTATCCCAGGCGCTTAATTTTATGTGACATCTGAAACACTCGCACAAGTCTGATTTCCCGCTATAGTATAATCCCGCGCTTGCCAGTTCGTACTTATTCGGGAGTAATTGTTTTGGATACGTATCGAACGTCTTAAGTCTACTTTCGTAATATTCCATGTTCTGGTTGAAGGATGTACAGTCAGTGGCGTTCATCTTGCTTATGCCAATACGCTGATTAGTATTCATTTATATACACACGTATTAAAATCTGATTGGCTGCTATATTTGGCATGACGTTATTCATCTATTTATGTTATTTATGGTCACGTGATCAAAATTATTGGTCAAATAATTCTTTTGTCTGATTGGTTACATTTAGTCCGTAAGAAAAGAGAAACTGCTTTTAGATTGGACAATGACATTTCTAAATTTAGATCAGCGCATGCGTATGATGTATCGTAGTGGTAACTTCAGTCATTTGGTGATTGAACGTCATAGAGTTAACATCATTAACTCAGTAAGTTGAGTTTATATTTCAAGTACAGTATTTTCAATGAAGAATGTTTAATAGAAATAGAGCGTTTATGCACTAGTGATTTTTAGTCAGTATTCATAAAGAGCGCCTTAAAACATTTCGTACGATACCAAACATGACCGGGTTATATTGACTAATGAAGGTGTAAATCCACATTTTACGCTGGAGTGATTTTACTTCAATTCTCGGTCCCTATCCGAGTCAGCGATACAAAAGTATACATTTTCTGAATCTAGTGAGTAATACCTTTCGTTCGATACAGGTATTGATAAGATCGGTCCGTTCGTTGAGGAGAAAAAATGGATTTCACGCACGAGTGACTTGACATCCGGTTTGATGCGTGACTAAAATGAACTCGTCAAGACCTTCAATTTGATACCAAACACGACTATGTTTCGTTCATAAACGAAAACGTTATGCGCGGTTTTTCCGCATGAGTGATTTTGTCTGCCATATTCAAACTCTCCTATCTCAGAAATAGTAAGAGATAGATCCATATAATAATACATTTTCTGTATCTACTTGCAGAGATCTTTCAAACAGCATATAAATCTAAGGGTTTTATGAACTTTGAAAAATTGGTTTAAAAATCGCTAATTGGCCATAACTCGAGAACGGCTAAAAATCGAATCGAGAACCTAGGGTTTAATTTGAAGCATTCTGTCAGGTCTATCATTTGATGCCTAAAAAAATCAAAATGTATATCGTAAAATGTTGCACAAAAAACGAAAAACGCTTTTTCTGTTGTATTTTTGTTCGGTTTTAGTTAACATTAATTATAGTTTTTTTTTATAATTTTGCACATTCGTGATGATCAGTTTTCAAAACATATTGGCATTTCTTTTCGAAAATGAGTTTAAAATTATGCCCCAGTGGTAAACTGACACTTCAAAAGCTTATTGCTTACCCGCTTTTACTTTAGACGGTTAAACTTTGACAGTTGAATGGAGCATTGTCCGCATATCCGTCCCTAAATAAACATACGCTAGACCGAGTGGCTACTTTAAATTGATTAACTTTAACATTTCAATAGGCCATTGTTAGTGTTTCCGTCCCTAAATAAACACACGCCATACATTGTGGCGACTTTACACTCGTGATCAGAGCATTTAGAAATAATACACTGATGATTTGTGTCATTTGGATTCGGGTCGCCGAGGAGTTAACAAGTAATATTTTTTATTGAATGTATAAATAAGAATTTATTATAAACATAAAAATATTATCAAGCCGTTTGCATTTTTTTAAGAGATTCTACTTTATTCGAACAATGTTTTTATAAATTGATATGTGTAGTTAAGCACGTATTTATACAAAGGTTATCTGTAGTTATAATAATGGTGATTTTCTCCCCGTCTAGAGCCGAGGACCTGACCTTCAATGTCCGCGATTCAAGCCCTAAGATCGTGTATACAAGTCAGCTCCGTATACTTCCGGGAGATATTTTTTATTTCTATTTATAACGTAATGTCATTCTTAAAAATGAATCCAAAATGGCTGCCGCGCGTCTGTTATTCAACACGGCCGCCGCGTATGTGTAGTAAGGCCATATTTCTTCTATGCAAATGAGTTACTATTTATAGAAAACAAAATGGCCGCCGCGCATGCGCAGTCTTGGGGGTAAAGAGATGCATATACTACTATAATCGATCTTTTAAAACGTTGATATACGCGCGTTATGGCTCCGACGTACAATTCTCAATTTCTTAGCAGTTTTTATTTTTCGATTTGCGATGGTTACCTTACTTTTAATATTTTGTTTATATACATTGTAATTTAACTATTAGATTTTAGTCTAACTGTAATAGGTCTTGAATATGTTTATCATTGATGTAATGTCTCTTGAAATTCTTAAATAGAATGGTCGTATGCAGATTGTATGTGAATATTTGTAAATATGTATAAAAATGTATGTTTACGAATGAGACAAAAATAAAGTATGAATATATATTATGCCATGCTATGCAATACATGATAAGTTATGCTATTCTATGCTATACATGTTATGCATGTTATGTAAATCGACTTAATTTGATAGCAAGTTGTGCACGCAATCTTTAATTACTATCGATCGACTAATTTTATTTTCTATAACACTTTGTAACTATTCAGAAAAATGTACACCATTCTTAATGTGAGCTACTTTAACGTCTGTAGAAACCAGTAATAAAAAAATTCGTAGAGAATTTAATATAAAATAACAAACAAACATAATTGTAAATTTTCAAACTGTTTACTTTCAGAAGCAAATGGCACCGTAAAGGAATTAGTGTTTCCTAAAGCATTAGACCTAGACCGCCCAAAGCGGGCTCGAACAACATTCTCGCCGTATCAACTTTTTGAACTGGAGAGAGAATTCCAGCGGAACCAGTATCTTGTTGGCAAGGATAGATCAGAACTTGCAAAACGACTCAGGTTATCAAAAACTCAGGTAGTGCAGCATTAAAGTTTCTTAAATGGAACAAACTTATTTTTGTAGACTAGTTGCAGAGAGTTTACTCCTTCTTCATTAATTTTTAAAGAAATATCGATAAAGAAACGTAACTCTTAAAAGCATATTTGATACATGATGCATCAATTGCCTCCCTTCGTCAAAAATTTTTAACACGCCTTAGTTTGTTGTAGACAATACTTTTATTTTTTCCTAAATCGCTCCAACCGGACCCAGCTTCAGTTACCCATAATGCACCTGTTTTAACACGATTACTTCCAGCATATCGCCGATATTCGCTGCCTGGTTTTCCGACGTGAAATACAATAATGTTTATATATATTAGTAAATAGCTTATCATATTTTATTTATAAAGTGTTTGGATTTGTAGGTAAATAAAATTATGTGTGAATGTTTTTTGTTGTTTTTCCCAGCTTGTCTTAAAGTGACATTATGCCCAACAAACTGTGTTAACAGATGTATATCAAAATAAGTTTTTATTTTGCCATAATTCCTTTTTATTAAATAATTAAGTTCGCATAAACAAAACATAACACAGAGATCCCAACAAAATTTCTGTAAAATCCATTAGAATTTACTTACCAATAACGCTTAGTTTATTAAACGAGTGGGGCAGTCTTTTTAGATTTTAGGCAGAATTAAAATTTTAATCTAAACATTTTCCAATATCATCTGTTGGCCAAACACTATTTTGTAAGTCAATCTTTTGAAATATAAAGTCAATATAGATCAAATCGACTATGAAAATATGAGCATAATGTCACTTTAAAACGCACCGTATTAAAGACACATTTAGCCTCAAAATGCTATACTTTTTAAACCTGTATAAAGTCAGTTACACGTTTTATTATATTTTGATAAAGGATTTAAAGCATCTTATATGTCATATAACTGAAGAGAGTTACGTTAAAAGTGCTGTAATGTAATGTGTAAACAAAGCGGCATTTTGACATTCATACAAAATACACGCTATAATTATTCCAATTGTCAAATAGTAAAAGAAGCGAGAGATTGTTCATCTCTTTGGCCAATGAGTTTTTTTTTGAAATTGTAATACGATAAAAAAATTAATAAACAAAAAGTTTTGCAAGATGAATATAATATCATTTCTGAGGCTTAATGGACCTTTAAGGGTATACATATAAATTAGTCTATACTATTTGAATGTATTATGAAGGAGGTATCTAAATTGCAATGATACCATTTAGATAGATGCATAAAAATATTATTTAAATTTGAAAGATATACCAACTTTTGTTATCGACTCATGTGTAATGAATCCGATGCATTTAGATTCAACTATAAGTAAATACATGAAAACATACATCTGAAAGATCAATTACCGGTACTTATACAAGTAACTTGCTCTTCATCTACAAAAAGGAATACTGTAATGTATCATATATATTCAGCAAAGTTAAAAGAAAAACATTAGTATAAAGACATGCGTACGAAAGCCTAAAAAGGTCAAATAAAATAAAAAAAAATAAAAATGTAAAGGCGTCATAACGCGAATAAAGGCATTATTACGCAAATCAAATGGCGTAATAACGCGAAAAAAGACGTAGTAACGCGAATCAAAAGGCGTCAAACGCAAATTAAATGCATTATAATGCCAATTAAATACCATATTTATACTAATCAAATGGCCTAGTAACGCGAGAAAGGAAGACAAATATTGATCTGAAATTATTGCTCAAGATATAAACTCGTATAAAATAATTTAATATACATTTACAATAACTATAATTCCATTTGCACAGTAATAATACAACCTATATGCATAAACAAATGAAGACACTTTAATATTTGCCAATATAAGGTGACTTGGTGCCTTATAGGTCCATTGGACTGGACGTAAATACAGTTACTCTGAATTCACATGTATCACATCATTGATTTTACACATGTCACTATAGTAAATGAATTCCTTTTCTTTTCTTATCTTATCTTATATCTTATCTTATCTTATATGTGAGTCATATGTTCAATTATCTTCGGATATATCCTGTATGATTAACTTATAACCTCTAGTATCTTCTAATTATGTGAATGTCATTCCTAATTGAGTGGTTAACGCGTCGGATTAGCAATCTAAGGATTGCTGACCGCGTGGGTTCAAACCCTGACAGGGGCAAGCCGTTGTATCCTTAGGCAAGAAACTTAACATTCATTGCTTAGTACTGGTTGGTTCCAGGAACGGATTCGAGAGTGCTTCAATAAGCGTATAGCTTCCAACACAATCGAACTAAGATATTTGTATAAACTAATTAAGCTATAGGTAATATGCTATAAGTAACAAGATTTGGAAAAACGTAAGGTATAAGTTAGTCACATTAGGGTGATTAGTATAGGTATGCTTATATGGGGGATAGTGTTTCAGTTAAGTCACAATTATAGGAGACATTGCCTTTTTGTCTATGTAGAAAAGTATCTATAGTTGGGTGACGTGTCCTTACAAAATTGAAAATAAAACTTACGTCTTCATCAATTCATTTTATCAACATTGTTCTTCCTTTCTTACATCACTAAATTTATATGGTATTAAATTAGCGTTATAACGCCTTTTGTTTTGCGTTATTACGCCTTTTGTTTTGCGTCATAACGCCCTTTATTCACGTTATTACGCCTTTTGATTCGCGTTATGACGCCTTTATTTGCGTTATTACGCCTTTGATTCGCGTTATTACGCCTTTTGTTTCGCGTTATAACGCGAATAAAGGCGTTATTACGCCTTTTGATTCGCGTAATTACGACTTTTGTTTCGCGTTCTAACGCGAATAAAAGCGTTACTACGCCTTTTGATTCGCGTTATAACGCTTTTTTTTCGCGTTATTACGCCTTTCATTTTGCGTTATAACGCGAAACAAAAGGCGTAATAACGCGAATCAAAAGGCGAATATGATATAAACAAAAAATGTGAAAAGCACAAGCATGTTAAATTTTGATTGTGACATCTTGTGAATACTGGCACCACACGTCCTTTTTTCAATTTATTATTTACCATTTGATAAAACTTACATGTATTAGATAATGTCGCACACAAAAATATGAACTTTTACAAGTGATATCTGGAAGAGATTTAGAAAAAAAATTCAACCCTGAAGTCCTGATTTAAAAAAAGTTGATGTAAAAACTAAACACAGCATCTGCATAGCTCATTTGGTGTGAACACTCAACATTGTGGGTTTGATTCCCGGGCTGGCTAACTAAAATTACTAATCAGTCATTCAGATATGACTTTAAATTGAGGTCCCGTGTATGAGTGCTTAAACACGAATTGGCACGTTAAAGCACAAGGAGAAGCTTCTGGAAATAGGGCATCTTTCTGTAGCTTGCACTATCCTTCAAAATATTAAATGACTAATACTCTTCTGGAGGACTGGCCCATATGGGCAACTGGTGGCGAGTATAAATAAACTCAAATACACACGCATTTGCACTGTACCTCTGCTCTGGCATGTACAGCAGTTTCAGTTCCTTTCGAAAGTGGAGGCACCTAGTACTGGTAAACTGATTGACAGCCTGCCCAGGAACAATGCGGGGGCTGAACTGTGCTCTGGTAAATTCAGTGTGGCTTACTGCCGTGACCAAGAGTAAAAACTTCCACCACCACCTCCACACATTGTCAGTTATAGATTAGATAAACACGCTACGTCACAATGACTATACAGCATGTCCTACATTCTTCTCCATTAACATGTAAACAATAATTTGAAAAGCATACATTTTCTAATATAAATTCAACATTATATTCTTATTATAAATTGATTCCCATTAAAATTAAGTTATACAATTAAGTTATGGGGAGAATTTTTTCATAGAAAAATAAATAATAGGTTGACTGCAACAGCATTTCCTGCTTCAGCTGAGGTATGAACTCAGATCTCTTTCCATTGGAGGAAAGTGTTCATATCATTTAACTACTAAAGCTAATGGAAGTGTTACACACTCACCAGCCATCATCCACGCATTAAACAAATTGATAATTCATCATATTTAACCTATAATCTTTTGAAAGAAAATAAATGGAAAAAAATTGACAAGTTTTCAGTAAAAAAACATCTCATTTCCTTACTTTCAATTTGAAATTTCCAAACAAAAAAGGGCTTGAAAACTTCAGTCCTTTGAAGAAAGACTGGCTGCATTATTTTTTTCAGCTTTTTGGTTTCTAAGCTTTCTTTATAGTGAGTAATATCTCATATAAACAAACATATTTTTATCAAAAATATATAAATTAACTTAAGGTAAGATATATTTTCCATAAATTGTCTATAAGACATAAAAATACCAACATATCCTCAGTCACATCAGTGACTATCACTAAAAAAAGTTGTTGGTGAAAACTAAATTGCCAAACAAAAACATGTGTATAAGGTAGCTGACAATCAACTAAAACAAAATAAGCTAATAATAAAGTTTTAATGCAATGAATTAATCTAACTGGATTGAAAAAGAAGATAGTTACTCATAAATGAACAAGAGGGCCAAGATGGCCCTAGATCGCTCACCTGACCCATCGAACTCATCCGAACAATTACCTAGACAAACATTCTGACCAAGTTTCATGACAGGTGAGTCAAAAATGTGACGATTCCCGTCCATAACTTCTTCATAGATCAAGGGATTTTGAAAATACACAAAAGGCACAAATAGACACAATGATAAGATGATATGTCATGCATAACACCTGTGTCCCTACCTCAAAGATCAAGGGCACACTTAGAGGTCAAAGATATACATAGCCTGTTATAGGGTATATTATGTGTCCAGTCCATAACTTTTAATAGATCAAGGGATTTTAAAAATACTTTGCACAAATAATCACAATAATAAGACGATATTTCAGGCGCTAAACAACGGTCCCTACCTCCAAGGTAACACTTAGAGGTCAAAGATTAACATAGTCTGTTATAGGGTATATTTTGTGTCTGATCTATAACTTCATAGTTCAAGGGATTTTGAAAATACTTGGCACAAAAAGTTACAATAATAAGAAGATATGTCATGCACAACACATGCATCCCTACCTCCAAGGTCAAGGTCACACTTATAGGTCAAAGATTAACATGATAGATTTTTAAATTCCGTGTTTCATTTTATTTCTTTAATAAATTTATTGTTGCATTTGCAGATCTAGCATTGATCATAATTTTGGACTGAAAGTCCTAAGATCCATATCTTTTGAAATAGCACAATTTTATGCTTATATAAAACTTCCCTGAGGCGGGGGACGTTTGTAACTCTGTTACAAATTCTTGTTAGTATTAAAGTAATTTTAAACAAAAACTTAAACAAATGCTGATGCTTAGAACGCTGAATGGGCCATGACCATACCAACATGTACGCTGTTTTACTTTGCCTTAAAAATGGACCTAAAAAGAAAACAAATATTCCAATTTATTATAAATACAATATGTCTCAGTATTAAGATAAGTCCATAAGCGAGATACTGTTGGAAGTGTGCTTTACAGTGCATTGCTACTAATAATAGAATAGGGTCTACATCAAATATAATATATGATCTTAATAATTAATATACAAACAGCCGATTATTTTTCGATTCGTAACCCCTTTGCTGTTTCTTGAAATGACATTCATGAATATCGGTGAAACTATTTCAAAAAAAGAAAGAAAATGAATGAAAACTAATTGATCCCGCTGTTACGCCTTTATTTTTATTAGTCCGTCATGTAAACTTTACTTCTGTAAGTAACATTGTCTTTTGTTAGCGCTTGTAGCACTAACAGGAACATACTATAGAAGGAAAAGGCACCTTTTGTTAGTGCTAGTAGCAGCCTAAAAAGTCTAATAAAAATGTGCTAGTAGCAGCTAACAAAACAGGATCGGGTGTACACATTTATCAAAATACTGAGTGCAGCTTCAAGCATATCAATATATTTACTTTCATCTTTTACAATTTATTCCACTTAATGTTATTGTCATTCAAATGCTAATGCGTACATCGTTTGTGAACAGTAACGTCAATGACCTGTCGAAATTGTAATAGAAAAGCAGTGCTTCGGGATATAAATTTCAAAATGACATTGTCACAAGACTTTTTTGTTGACAAGTAATTATGCAAATACCGCACACAGTTAGTGCTAGGGGACAGATACTGTGTTTAGAAACAAAACATTAAAGTTTTTGAAAGAGATACACTTTTACTGGTGATTGACCGATAAGTAATTGTTTCAAATTTTTAGGATTAAATTTTATTAAATAGTCTCTAAAACATGTGAAGAATGCATTTTAGTTTTGAACAACTAACAAATTTGATGTAGTACCATATATCAAAGATCTGTAAGTCCATAGATTTTATAAAGATTTAAATGCATAGAGGAGCAGCTGTTAATTTTATTTACCAACACCTCGATTCTGAATGACTATCGAACGTTCATAACGGATTATTACCACAGACAGTTACATGTTTGTCTGTTTGATTTGGTTTTACGTCACACCGATACAAAATAGGTCATGTGACGATTTTCCAGCTCTACTGGCGGAGGAAGACCTCAGGTGCCCTTTCGTGCATTATTTCAGGCACGAACGTGCACCTGCGTAGAACCTCCGTCTTCCGTAAGCTAGCTGGATAGCTTCTTTTACATGAAAGAATCCAAAGTCCCTATCGGGATTCGTGCTTACATGCTAGAAAGTAAACAGAAAAGGCAATGACCTCGATTACCAATTAAAAAAGGTTAGTCCAGATATCAAGTTATACGTATGAGTGCCTGACTTGAAGTACAACATGAAATCATTCCAAACACTTTCGCTTGCTTTGAAAGACGTTTCAATGGTATTACTCTTGATGAACCTATCAACAATATGCTCTGATGTTTTCTTCCATTCATTTGAAAGTCTTCTGAAATCAATAACAGACGGAGTAAGGGAGCAAGACAACTCAATCCCTTTCCCAGTAATCTTTGAAACACAGTTATTGCTCTTAAGCTCGGCAGATAGTTGCTCACAACATTTCCTGGAAAACAAAAATATTCATAAATTAACGAAAATATATTTGTACTGTGTTACATTAAATGATAAACACAAGGTTAAAATTTTTGTCTTCATTGATAAAACACTGTTTTATAATTGATTTTATTGTAAAATACAGGAACATTATACGTATACTTTCGTACATATAAAAGATCGAAATTACACCATGTGACGGCACATAAGGCTATATAGTAAAATGTTCACGGTGGGTATAATAAATGAGTTATATAATAATGAGCTGCGTCACGACAAAACCAACATAATGGGTTTGCGACCAGCATGGATCCAGACCAGCCTGCGCATACGCGCAGTCTGATCAGGATCCATGCTGTTCGCTTACAAACTCTCAAACAAGTAGAGAAACTGATAGCGAAAAGCATGGATCCTGATCAGACTGCGCAAAATCGCAGGTTGGTCTGGATCCATGCTGGTCGCAAACCTATTATGTTGGTTTTGTCGTGACGCGGCTCAGTTATGTTGCTGGCGATTTATACGGGAAGCTAGCACCGGTCGTATCAACGTTTTACTTATCTTAGCATTTTTTTAATTACTCACTATTATAATTTTCAATCTTTTGAACTAGTTTGTTCAGGTTAACTTGGTAGGGGAAAATGAGCATAGTGCCACTTTAAGATAAGACAGAAAAATGAAACTGTCAATCAAATTCAGAGTACCATAAAGTATAATATACAGGTATAAAATAAACAAAGAAGTTAATGTATGCAGAAAACTTTGTATGTAGCCAAAACACGTATGTAACAATTGTTCGTATATAACAGTAGTATTTAAACAACAATCATAAGTATGTAACTACCATATGTTTGCTGCAAAATTATGTATGTAGCAGTTGTTCTTATGTAACAATAATATGTATGCTACAATCTAATGTGTGTAAAAAATATGTGTATGTGATAATTTAATGTTTGACTGTTATACATGTATGTTACAATCCAGTAACGAAGATTTTTGTAACAGTTAAAAAAAAACTATGAAAGCCTAGATTAAACGATACATGTACAGATATCCTTTTTTAAATGTCTACTGAAAAAACAACTTATGTGGCCACAAAAAGCTTTTTTTATTAAACATGTTAAATAATCTTAACAAATATTTCAAACCAAACATTCTTTAATTTAGAAGTATATGCAAAGGATTACAACCGCCAAAAGCTACTATGTATCTCGGATGTTCTGAGTTCTAAAACTAACACCATTTCCTTGTTTAAGTGGTAAATTAACCTTAATCTGTAAAGGGAGTAAGGTTATTTAACTGTGGTGAATCGTTATTTGACTGTGGCGAATCGTTATTTGACTGTGACGAATCGTTATCTGACTGTGTTGAATCGTTATGTGGCGAATCGTAATGTTGTGGCGAATCGTTTCTAATTCATTCATACCACACGGAATTTAAGCCCAAATGACAGGTTTTAGATATTATAGATAACGACTGACGCATGCGCATATTTTCGATTGGAAATTCCTTAATTAAACTGCAATAAAGCACTTTAAATACTCTTATATTTAGAAATTCAAAACATTCAAAAATCTTTGAATATGGATTGAAGTGTATGATCATTTTCTTGGCGAATTCGGTTCAAATATAACTTGTAAGTAAAATGGTTGTTTTTGTTTCAAATTTTTATAAAGTATGCAGAACGGAAGTTTAATTTGTTTAACTTTGGAAACAAAAGGTCAACCCTAAGAGAGACCAGAGTATCTTAACAATTGCGTATTTACAAATCTAAATGTGAACGACCGTTTTAGCAAATTAACAATATTACATAGTTACGTTTTCCTCTATCATTATAATCATTCAATAGCTATACGTTTGACGTTTAGTCAGATTAAATTTAAAAGTTATCACTACAAGTCTTAAGTGTTACTCAAACTGTTTATTTTTCAAGATTACGTTTGTGTTGTTATCAAGAGGAGAAGATAGGCTTAACACATAAAATTCAACTCTAGTTTTGCTTTTTTTTTCAGAACAATTACAAGATACAGCAATGTAAGATCATCAGAGGTTAATGGCTTCTAAAGAAAACATATTCTTTTTACGTTCCTTTCTATTATTAATCGAAGGTGGCTTATATATTTCAAAAGAAATTTTAAGTCGAGAATGTCAAAAGTCTGAAAATGACCTGGATGAAATACTCAAAATTAATGAACCGAAACTGAAACATTTGTTCCATGACAAGCAATACCAAAAATTGTTTCCAAAGTTTGGTACAGCTGACGTCAACTGTTGGGACTTGCAACTGTTAGTTGGTGTTTTGATAACTGTGTTTGGGAGAGATCTTAAATCGGGAGAAAAGGACAAGCTTAAGTTGTTAAGATATATGAGAAACGAAACTTTTATGCACTGCACTACTGCTGCTCTAGATGAAAGAAAATATGAAGAAGTAATAGAAGAAATAGATGACAACATTACAACATTAGCATCAACGTTCGATATTTCAGTACAACAGCATTGTTCAAACTACATCAAACAGTTTACTTCCGGGCCATTAGAAGGTAGTATAACCTTCAAAAATACTTTAACCCTTCAAATTATCTTCCAACGTATTTAATTTATACTCTATTAGTTACATTGTAGATATCAATGTTTATTTACATTCTTAAACATTATAACTAAACAGAATGCCGGTATTAATGGCACTGTGCACGTATCTTACTTGGGACCAAGATCGGAAGAAGCTTCAAATATGATCTTTTATCATATTTGTGCCACAATTGAACTAAATGCCATCTTTATGTATTGTCCGCAAATGAAAACTACGTAATAATAAAAAAACTAATAGAAATTCAACTGACGTATGAAATACCACCTTAATAGCATGTGTATGTATTTTTCTTCATTTTGACCGAAAATAACATATACTTCATTATCTGTACATTTTTGATATTTATCAATTTTCAACTATCCGTAGCAAATAAGTACCTTATTAAAAATAAATGTTCAAACAGATAAAAGGCAACAAGAGTTATACAAGGTCAAAGGTGAAATGTGCGTTGTAGGGCTAGGTTTAATTTTATTATGTAACAACCTTTTCTTCTTCTTTAATTTAATTTTTCAAATGAAACGTCCATTAAATGAATGACTAACAAAACAGTTTAGTTGTATATAGGAAAGACATTCACTATTTTAATAGGAATACCTCATCCACACATCAAGTAAATTCCTTTACTTCCAAGCTGTTAAATCAAGATTAGATTTATCTTAAGTTTAAACTTGAAGAATGTTAAATTTATTTTGATAGTGATACGTTTTATATTCTGTCATTATTGCAGCCGTAAGACCATCTCTACCGACGTTTAATGGATTTAGTCAGTTATGTCAAAAGAAATTTAAAGGTGTGTAAACTGAATTTGTATACAACCTGTTTGTTTTTTACAATTAATTCTCCCGATATTACGGAATATTAGCTACGACATGATTCGCTATACACTGTTAGGGAGTGACTAGCTTTGAATTGACCTAATCTTAGAAATGGCAAATGTAACCATTTTAAACTCGCTGAGATGTTGGAGGCAAAGCAGAAACGCATGACGGTTAAATTATTTTCAGTTCGATTACTGATACATATTTGTAAAAGAACAGACTTTTAAAGGTTTATGTTTATTTTTAGATCATATCCATGTATTTAAACATATCCTTGTAAGTAGAATTCCGCTGGTGTAGGTACAAAGGGTGTGATTACTAAAATTCTTTCAATGTCAGTTATAATTAACATCTTAAGCTCATGAAACCTATGAATTCATAGAAATGTAACTTTTGTTATTATATATACAGTTGGTGTGGAAACAGAATTGGTTATCGGTGGTCCTTCTTCAACCTGGACAAATCTTTGCGAATACACTCTTGAGACAATTTTCAATCATGCTGAAAGCATGGCAAGTGAAGATGGTGGATTTCAGGAAATTGAAGGAAATGTTAAGAAAATGCTTAGCTATTTGGAGAGCAATAAAGATGTTGTATTCAAAGGATGTAAAAGAAAATGCATCATTCTGTTTTTTCAGTGCAAGGACTATGAAAGCTTCTTACATTTTCTTTGTAAAGTAGAATGTCAGGAATACAAAAGTTATTTATGTGTCTTATCAAATTCCCTTCATAGATTCTTTAAGCCAAGATATCCGATATCTATCACATCCCAAGTTACATCAGAAAGTTTGCAATCGGTATTGATTGACATTATAAGTAAGTACATTATGAAAACTTACACTAATCTTTTTCGTTCTAACTTAACTGTGTGTTGTCTATATTTGTAATTGAGATAAAATAGATAAATATAATGATAAATAATGTTGATACTTACTTCATTGTAGTTTAAATTAGTTTAAAACTATCCTAAGATGCACAAGCAGTATTATTCAAAATATTCATTTCTGTAACGAGCGTATTAAATATAGATGTATATGGATTTTGTGTATGTTGCAAGGTTTTTGCCTTGTCCTTATTAACTTACTCAATGAACTGTACTTAATTTTTGATTGCATAATAAAGACTGATCAAATACGGAATCGCCTTTTCAAAATATAGTTTATGTATTTCTTATTCAACACAATTATTTTTAAAGAAACTCTCTCAAACGAGGAAAAGCGACGCCATGTCGTTGAAGTATCATCTGAAGACAATATTCACGAAAACAAGGCAATGACAACGGCGTCACATGATGTAAACAAAGAAAATCAACTAATTAATCAAAGCGAAACCTCTCTGTTTCTGAATCTTGAATTACAATCTGAGGAAGCTTTACCTCAAATGCTACAATCATTCCATGGAAAACAATTCTCGGACAGCTTAAAGAAGGTTGCTGACTCACTCTCACTACATTATGGCGGTGAAATTACACTAAAAGCATCTATGGATGTCGGTGCGATGCTGGAAGCTTTAGAAGATTCAGGTTTTGAATATTACTTTTAAATCAATTTTTAAAATAGCAATATTTGTCTTATTTGAAAGTCATTATAATGTCAAGCGTGTCAAAGATTTAAGATGAAAATTTAAAGAATTTTACATCAAATATATAGAATGAAAACATCAGTTTATATTTCTGTTTCAAATGAGTAAAATGCTTCTAATTTTCAAAGTTTCCAGCGCAGTTACAGTTGCTCAAGATGCTAAAACGACGGAGACTATCTATGCGATGACATCAAAGGATGATTTACACTCACTGTCGGGTACGTGTAATTAGATAGAAGATATTTGATAGAATTGACTGAATAATGTATTGAATATGAAACGTTGTGGTTAAGCTGCAAATTGTATACTATCATCATAATTATTTATGCTATTTAAGACCTTTCTTTATAGATCAATTCACTTTAAATATGCTGATTTAAGTATAGTTTCTACCTAATATTAGGCATTCAATATGCTAATTGGTCATTTCTGTATCCTCATTTCGACAGGAGATATAGCGATTGGTCATGTTTCATCCTGTTACATATATTGTATGTTGATTGTCAGACATTGAAATTTCTGATTGGTTGTGTATTGATCCTTTTTTGTGTCGCCTTAAAAAGGCGACATATAGGGGTTATTTTTGTCGTCGGCGTCGTTGTCGGCGTCTGTGTCCTTTAAAGCTTCTCCGGAGCATAACTCACTATAAGTTGGATTGACTTCAAACTTGGTATGCATGCTTCTTTCAATAACCCAAAGTGCAGTGCACAAGGACCGGTACTCTGCACTTCTTAAATTTTGAGTTATTGTCCTTTGTTTTATGCTTTAATTTTGCTTGGGCCATTTCTCTTCAACTGTAAAAGCTATGGACTTGAAACTTTATAGGATGATATATCTCATTAGGAGGAAGTGCAATGCATAAGAACCGGTACGCTGCACTTATTTTTGACAAGAATTTGCACTCTGTTTTTTTTTTTTTATCTTTTTTGTCAAGAACTGGCACTCTGTTTTTTTATCTTTTGAGTTATTGCCCTTTTTTAATTTTCATACTTTTTGTCCGGGCCATTCCTCCTAAATTATAAAAGCTTTGGACTTGAAACTTCATAGGATGATAGGTCTCATCGAGTTGAAGTGCAGTGCACAAAAACCGGTACTCCATGGTTTTTGAGTTATTGCCCTTTGTTAATTTTCATACTTTAATTTTTGTCCGGGCCATTTCTCTTCAACTATAAAAGCTATGGACTTGATTATCTTCATGGGATGATAGATCTCATTTAGAAGAAGTACAGTGCACAAGAACAGATACTCTGCACTTCTTATTATTTTAGTTATTGCCCTTTAGCAATGTTTATAAATAACCTACATTTAAGAAGAAAATGCTTAAATGGCAACTATATTGTTCACAAGGCGACTCATTCGACTCGCGGAGTTCTAGTTTAAGACAAAGAATGTAGTTACTATTCAAGTGTCTCTTTTTCTGTTAGGTATTTAATGTACTTCATACTCAAATCTTCACCCGTCTGTTATACGAAATATTTGCTTGTTATTAGAGCCTTTATCTTCCTTTAATACAGAGAATGTATTGACAGCTCAAAAGTTTATCATTCTGTTTAGGAAAATAATTTATAATAATTTAAGTATCTATTCTTCGGACGAGGCCTGTTAAAAAATCTTAAACCGCCTGCCGGTACAGACTGGAATATCTAGCTCGAGGATATTTTTTTCGGCGGTAACGAGGCCGCTTTACAGTTACTCGAGAGCTAGATATTTCTGTCTGTGGCGACATCAAGTGATCGATTATTTTTTCTTGCATATTACATAGTAATGATATTTCAAAAAGATATTACAAACCTGGTTTTATATTGAGCACTATTTTCTTATAGGAGCGTATGAATTTACAACTCCGTCCATAACGGCAAAATGACGTCATCCTAACAATGCAATTCATTCATAAAAAGCGCGTGGGGATGACGTCAATTAAAGCACGCCATTCGGCTTACATAAGACAGGTATTTCTAGCACCGGTGTGAACAATAGATAACCCTGACTGATATTCATGACATTTCTTGTTTATATCCTGTTGGTCATTTAATATGACTTTAAGTTAAGTCTCTATTCTCATGTTACACATAAAAGTGATGAATAGTTAGGTGTTTTCCTTTTGATAAAAAATAATTCATTTATTTGTCAGATATTTGTCGTTATGTTACACATTCAAATGATCGTTTTTGCGACAGTTTATTTATTGTCCAGTCTTTTTCTTTCTGTTAGACAAGGTTTGTAAATACGCTGATGTGTTTAGTCTTTAGCTTTTATTTAGGAAAAGAATGAAGTAATTGTTCAAGCTTTCATTCTTCCGTAAGGTATGATATATTCTGATTGGTCAAGTCTATATCCTAAGTTAAATTATCCTTGTTCTAGAAATAATAAATGCTCTAAATGCAGAAAAAATGTCAAGTAAATTTCTTACATCTAACTTTGTATCTTGCTGCTTAACAGTAGGTCAGTCAGCTAGATTAGACCAAATGGTAAATAAAAATGTTAATACTGATTAAATCTGTTCCATCAGTAGTTGTTTGCCTACGTAGAGTTCACATGCGCCAAATGTTGCGGTTTTTTGTTAGGTAATGCTGTAATATATCCAAGTATATGGTAAAAACATTACCAATATCATTGTGTGCAAATTTTGATAAGAAATTTAAAATTTGACAATGGATCATTTTCGATAGGGAGTATGTTATTTCCTGCCCGTCCACAAAATAGACGTTAAACGTAGATTTTAGTGAAAATAATTTGAAGAAATTATCAGGCTCAACTGTTTACAATTGGACTATTTATCTTACTTGGTTATTTCTGGACAAATTTGTCTGTCAGTGTACGTTTGTTTATTGTATATTTAAAGTATATATGTCCCTCAAAGATATTCACTTATTCAAACAGTGTCGTTTTATTCAGAAGTTTATAACGTCAATACGTAAAAATACAGCCAAATCTATCAAATGTCGTGCAATTCAATGATGCAACAATTCAATTATTCGTGCACCGTTTTCTATATCTATCTATTGCTAGGAATTTTACGATACAAAATTATTTGTCTAAGTTTCTTTATGCACTGTGAATCATTTTATGATTCTAAATTGCAAATTGTGATTAAACTCAAGCGTGAAACACTTTCAGCAGCATTATGTATTTAAAGAAGTTATATTTTTGTGCAATACATGTATATTCCATAATTTGCCATCTTACACCATGAATGATTTAATTGATAGTATTTTTTATGTGTTGTAATGTAATGCTTTTTGATCATATGTGATTCATTACATACTGAAGCTTACATAACGAAGCTATCAAATTTCTTCTTCTATTATTTTACATATTATCAATATATACACCTATTTTTTATATAAAATAAGTTCAGCACACCCGGTATTTTGCCTCAATTTTGACATGACCACAACGGAAATTTTAAATTTCATTTGGGCAATTGTACGAAACACCTGTTGTCAACCTGCAACGCAACAATGCACCAAGAGTGGCAAAATTTACCCCTAGACGCCTTACTGGTAGTATGAGGAGAAGTGCTGGAGCTATCATCCGGGCACGTGGTGGTTACAAATGTTTTTTTTAACAATTTGGCTACATAATGTCATTTTAGGTAACATAATCGTCAACATTCACCAAAATATCCACCAGCTCCAACAAACTTACTTATAAACACTTACATTTTTGGTAAAAAAACAACACATTTGCTTATGCTTCGAAATAAACTTAACTCATAGATTTACTGGTATATGATTACTAAATTGGTTATGCTACTTATCAAATTACTATTTCTTAGCTCAATTAAGTTGTCATCTCATGACAAACTTATCAGTTATTTCAATCACAACCAGTTATAAACTTCCAGGTGTGCTTAACCTATTGCCATGTGTATATATGTAATGGATAAGATTGCATTTTGTGTTTCACTTATATATTTGAACTGAACCATGATTAGAAAGAATAATCATCATGTGCGTTCAATGTTTTTATGGTAAAAATGTTTTTTTTTTTTTTTTTGTTGTTGTTTTTTATAAATAAGATATTGCAACATTTATTTTCGGTTTAGATGGAGAGAAGACATTTTTAGCCGACAAAGTCCGTATAATGAAGTCCGTTCTGTTTCTCAGAAAAAATTACATACTAGAAGATATGATGAATGTCCTGACCAGAAAGGGTTTGTTAACTCATCAATGGGAACATTTTCGCATTAACCGTAAAAGAAATGCTGACATATTTATTTCAATGGTATGTTTATAATCAACTTTAAAATAGTACATGTATCACAATGAGAGTAATCCATTTTATTCCAAAACTTGTTAATAAAAGACAATAATAAAATTTATATAAAATTTATTATTTTCCTTCTATAATATATCAAATTAAGAAAATCATGGATATAATTTCTATCTTCACCTTCTATGTCTTTATTTAGTTTTACATTCCATTTTTAAGCAAATCCCGTTTTTATTTATACATTATTAAATCTAAGGTGTTGACTAGCCCAAAAGAATTGCTTGAAGGCTTTAAACAGTATCTACACGACCGAGGAATTTATTACATTCAGAAGATGATTGACTCAAATAGCGTAACTTTAAACGATAAAACAGGTTTGTAAAATCATGTGTTTCATAAGCTTATCACACTGAAAAGTTTCTTGACTCTATTTTTTCGTGATGTTAAATTCATTTGGAAACTATAAAATCAAAATATACATACTTTTAAAGTATTGTGTAAAAAATACGGAGAACGGTTATAGAAGACGATAAGAATAAACCTGCATTACATAGTTAATTATTTGCAATAAACTGACTGTATAAATTTTAGATCTAAACTGTACATAGCAAAGGTTATAAAGTCACATAAAGTCATCTGTTTACTGTTTGTTATTACATTTTATGATATTTATTTTGTTTCGAACAATGTAAAAAATATCCGATGGTATCTTGTATGAATTGATACATGCTTTTTCCGAAAAGAAAAGAAAATTGGTAAGACTAGAACCACATAACCACATAAAAGTCAACAATGTGTTATATAAACATATATCAATAGTGATTAATGAGAAAGAAATAAGGAACCAAACACTCCTAAAGTGCGAAAGAAGGTTACTGTGTCATTACGATATTTAGCTTTGGAAAATGTTCATTTCAACGAGTATAACATTATAATTATTATTATCAGCAAATTATACAAAGTTTACATATTTCCTGCAGGGCAATTATTTGTACACTTTTCAGAGAGAATACAAGATTATCCTGCACATCATTATCAGTCTTTGGCAATGTAGTTACATGTATAAACATTTGTTAATAACTTTACATTGTAAACAATGTAAACAAATATATTATAGAAGCTTGTACGATGCATGTTTTCCCAAAATGAAAAGGAAATCGGTAACACACAAACTACATAAAAATGTCATCAATGTGTTATAAATGTATAAACATACATTGATAGTGGTTTATGAGATTAAAATTAGAGACCAACAACTTCTGAAGTGCTTAAGAAGGGCACTGTGTAATACTTTCAAAGAAATTCAATACTACATTGGTAAAGAGTCATAGAAAATATATCATTGCAAGTTCTATTAATTTTCGTCAGTCAGTGAAGTCGAAATAAACAATGGACAAAATGTTATAATAAAAACAGTCTTTCTCGCCCGAAAGTTTAAAGCTTATTTTTAGCGCGTTATGTGGTAAAATCAATTTAAAAATAAGAATTATTTTACTCGTTGGTATTAAATTCCATGTATCTTCCATGTATCTTATGATTTATTACATTTTGACTTTCAAGCTTCGTAATAGTATAATTTTTTCTTCAGTTTTGTCAGAACTAGAAGGATCAATGACAGGAAAATGTTTAAGACCAAATGGTGGCAAACCTCTTATCAAATTCACCAGCCAACAGAGAGATTTACTTCTTCGGGAACTTGAAAATGCAAATGATATTGCTGCCAGTCTTTTATCAAAGATGATTATTAGTGGTAACGAATTCTTGAAAATAAGTCTTCAACATACCGGAAGAATGGGTACTACAGTCCTACTTGACATACTTGAAAAATGTAATGAGAATCATTTCGTCGATTTTTATTTTGCTATGAAAGAAAACGGGTATAACCCGTCGACTGAAGACTTTGCCGGAATAAACCAATTAATCTCGAAATGTACGTACAATTTACGTTCACTTGCATTTATTAATTTGTATTGTACAACTTTGATTTTTAAATGTCCATAAGCAGTTTCAGAAATATAAAAAGATGAACAGTAACTTAAGATCATGTATGTTGTAATTTAGTAAATAGTGTAATTTAATACCACACTTAAATGAAATTTCAAATGTACATGTATATAATTATATTAAATAATTATGCTTATAAAAATTTTCATCAAAGAATATGTAAAATATGTACTGCAAATATCTGTAAATATTACATGTATACTGGTGCCTCATATTTCCGTGGTACTTAACTGTTTAACACAGACAACAAAAGTTAAAACAATAAAATTCTGAAAAACACATTGAATATTGTAGGATAGACATATCAGTTGCATCATAGTTTATTCCATTTTATGAGTGCATGTAAGCAATTATGTATACAGCATTGTAATTAACACCAATCTGCTGCCTAGTGAGTAAAGTTGTGTTCTCGTATTTCCAAGGCAATTACATTTTTACAGTTTCAAAAGCAAACCCAATAGTAATATTTATTTTTTAGTACAGGTATACCTAGGCTTGTCTGAATGTGGGATTTTCTCTTTGGCATTTATCAAATATGTCAATGGTTGTTTAACAAAGACATTTGTCTTAAAAGGTATAAAATTTAAAAGTTAAATGGTGTAATAAATCACTTTGCTCTTAATCTGAATAAAAAGAATATTTTTTCCTGTCGTATATGTAATATTTCTATACAAATACAATAAAATAGTAAAAGTAAAACTACTGACAGGTTTATGATGTCTAGGAGGCACTTTGGACTGTTTAAGCCTAATACCTTGGAAATATGGGTACCATGGAAATATGAGGCGCCAGTATATATGTAATCATTAAAGTATATGCATCCATTTCTTATTGAAAAAATTGACTTAGTCTTTAAAGAAAATAAACTTGTTATTACCGCCCTTTATTTACATGATATGTTAAATTAGGCAATATCTTTATAGATAATGCTTTTTGGAACTTACAAAATTTATAAATCTTAATTTGGGCATCATATTCATGTTATTAAACCATAAGAAAATGTGTTACAGGATCTTTAAATTGAAATGACTGCCGGTTTCAGCAAGTTGAAAATAGATTTAAATTGAATATTGCATAATGCTGTCACCGATACGTAAATTTTTGCACTTTTTTTAATTTTATCATACTAATATTTAATTCAATATCACAATTAATTCAATAGCACAATTAATGATATACCCATTAGCAATATAATTAATCTAATCACCCTCTCTTATTATGCTCTTTAATTCATTCATTTTTCATTCATTTATTTATTGGCAATCAGCAATACATTTGCCTTTGGCCATTTACAAACAAACAAAAACTTATGGCAAAGACTATTATATACATAACTAACATAGACAAATAATGAAGTACAATATACGATCAGAAGACAGGTAAGCTTTCAAGGGTATTTTGACGTAAACACAATGCTTCTTTTATATACTTTGCTAGATTAAACATATATTTTTTACTTTTATTTGACATCAATGCATTGAACTTTTGTAAAGTTGGTCATGAACACTGGCCCAAACATTTTGATCTAATACTACTGTAACGTGAGCAACACATAACAAAATGATATTCTGACTCTACTGCATTTTGGTTACATAGTTTCTATTACTTCTTTCAATATTATTATATCTTCCTAATTCTATATCTAAACTATGTGAGCACAATCTTAAGCATGTGAAATGCTGCCTTAGCTTATCATTCGATATAACATCCAAGTACTTTTCAAAACAAAATTCAGTTTTATATTTGCAATAACAATCTAATTTTGACATAGAATTAATATTTAAACTCCATTCTTGAATAAATTGATCTCGTATTCTAGATTTTATCAAAAGGAAATAATTAACCCTAGGATCAAATGTCAACCTTAGATCTGAAAAACCTAAATGATCTATAACACCCCAGTTACACAGAGCCATCGGTGATTGATCGGTAGTTTTTTTAGCCAAATTATGGAGTGAACCGATGACAACGTATTTAACACCGATATCACCTATTGGTCACCTGTTTTCCACCTATCAACTGCTATTGGGGAAAGATAAGTTTCATCGGTGAAAAATTACCGATTGGGATTTTTAAACATGTTTAAAATTCTCGATCGGTGATTTTTTTTTTTTAAATAACCGACGGCAACCTATATCACGAGATATGCAAGCTCTTAATCACCGATATCGCCGATCGGACAAAGATAACCAAATATGAATCACCGGCCATATCTGACGGAATGTGTTTTATCACTGGTGACTAGCTATCAAACACCGATTAATCAGTGTTACGCCCGATTTAGCTCCGATTTATAAACGATAAAAACCAAAAGTATTTCATCATTTAATCATCGACCCATTCCCGTTTGAGTTTGCTTTTTGTCACCGATGGCCGTTTACACAGAAAACCAGAAATAAAATCACGCATGACAACCGATCATAACAGTGAGTTAATTTAAAATTAGATGACTGATTGGGGACCGACCGTCTGTGTAACTGGGCCCTAATAGAATTCATTCTACTAGCCCAACTAGAGGTACTTACATTATTACATAAATCATTAAACATTTGATAAATAGGTAAATCATTACTTTTCATAATTTTCAACCAAAATTTAACGCTTCTTTCTTTACATATAACTGACAGAGGCACTCGGCCGAGTTCACCATATACCGCATATGTAGGAGTTTGTTTCTTCACGCCTAATATATATTTACAAAATCGAATATGTAATTTATCTACCTCTTTATAATTATAAGCACCCCAAACTTCACATCCATACGTTAATATAGGGACAATCATAGTATCAAAAAGAGATAACTTGGTACGAATATCTAGACTAACATTATCAAAAACGTTTAAAAGATTATTATACGCCCTAAGAGCTTGCTCATGCAGTGCTTTTACAGCATTTACAAGAGTACCAGTGTAAGTAAACTTGATTCCAAGATAAACAAAATTGTCAACAATTTCGATTTTTTCGTTATCTATATAAAAGTCAGGTTATACAGTTTGTTTTCTCTTTTCAAAAACACAATTTTTTGTTTTACTAACGTTTATTTTCAAACCCCATTTTAAGAATAATGTTGCACAGCATTAATTTTAGCCTGTAGGCTATTTGGATCTGTCGTAAATAATACAATATCATCAGCAAATAAAATCATATACCTAGACAAAAGTTTAAAGTTTCTTTCAGTCAAAGCATTAAAATCCAAATTTTCAGAAATATCATTGATGAAAAGTAGAAAAAGTATGCTCTTTAATAACAATATCAAACAATGAATGTATTATATATTTGCCTTTCATTTCACCAACAAACAAATATTTTGCAAAGTATTGTCAAATTATTTAATTTGCAAATCTCAATTTGTACAATACACCGATAAACACTTTCCCCAACTAGCAGACGACAGGTTATTCTTATCAGTAGGTTTTCGAGTAAAGATAACCGGTTGTATATCTCGCTATATAAATCGTTTGTAAAATGGGCTGACATATGGTAGGTTTAACAGTTAAATTTAAATACTTTGGTGTCAAAAGATATGTAAAATTATATTCTGTGACAACGCTAAGATCCAAAGCTTTCCATTGATGTAATAATTTTTAAAGTCGGACATTTAATCACAACAAACTAGCGGTTTAAATATGGCTTAATTTGTATTGTTTTAGCGTATGAGATACCAATTTTACTCGAAGATAAGGGAAACAACTCGTATGATTTCACTCGATATACCTCGGTTATTTACGTAGTTCATATGAAAAGTGTTTATTGGTGTATTATCATTTTGAAAGAATGGAGGATCGTTTTATGAGAACTTAATTATAGAATATATTTATACGTGTTTTTGAATTATATTTAATTTATACATATAGCCGACATGTCTGCAGAAGATCTGTTCAGGAGATATACTCCCCGTATCACATATGGTATAATTAAACCAGCAACTACCTCATCTGAAAAGCAAACCTCACGTAAGTACTTGACATTCGGATGCCTTTATATACACGTATGTTATTAAATGTTGGTCAAATTGTTTTACTTGAAAAAGTTATCTACAAGTGAAAAATTGCTAGACTAAAACATTGTAGAGTTCTTTTTTTAATGGATCAATTAAAAAAACTACTCAGGAATATGATGTAATCTTTATTTAATTCATTGATTTTGATATTTTTTCTTCTTTTAAACAAAACTGTTTGAACATACAGTTTCCATGATTGGGATCTCTGATGTGCTGAAATAGTTTATCAAAATATTATTTGCCATGATCATACAGTTTGCCAAAGATCAAAAGAAGAAGAAAAATTAGTTCATCTATATGTGTTTGGAATTTCTAAAAAGATTTTCCAAAAATGTAAGATTTTGAGAAATCAAAAAATGAAAGTATTTCTGGGGCTTTATGGATATTTTATTTTAAAACCTATGTGCAAGTATCAAACTGCAAGAATAAAGCCTAATTTATTATACACAAAGAAACCATCTTGATATAAGGAGAAAGTGATGATAGGTTTATATCGCCACATTCAGAAAACCAAATATAAGCGAGTACTCTACATACCAATGCTCTCCTGCATTTTCTTAGTCTTTTAAAAAAATTGTATAATTTTCATACAAATATTATTGAAATCCTTTTTATGGCTTTTATACAAATATTTTATAAGACATATAATTGTTTTGACCGGGAAAAACATTTTCTTTTCATTCAGACTATACAAAATGGAAGTAATAAAACAATTTGCCTCTCGTATTAAAGATATAAAATATAAAATTTCTTTCAATATCTTTATCAGAAGGATTTTCAGTAACAATAATACGAGAGGATTGCAATTAACTAATGAAAAAGCCATTTTCTTTACTAGTTTGTAAAAAGATAAATGCACATTGCAATGACAATGTGTAAAAGGATGATAAATGTTTATACACGCATCACATGCACGTACCAGTGAAGCTATACCAAAATACAAAAAGGTTTATATAACAGTATCCGTCAACTGACACATTACATAAAAAGGGGTCATAAATTTATTTGCTGTATGAGACAATACTGAAATCTTCCAGGTTGACAAAAAATAAACTGGATTCCAAAAATGTCTGAACTCGAGATACAAGATAGAAATCTGTTATTTGCTATAAGAAAATTTCAAAAAGTATGAACGATTAAAAATTAGGTAATTGACAAAATCAAGAGCAACTGTTTAACAAAGATTTATGAATATAATCAAATGACAATATTCCCAATGAGGAAACAGAGGTACAGCAACATCTCAGATATCTGGTGCTATGATGTGTAATCTGCTTCTGTATAAACCTCTTAAACGAACGATCTAAGAGATATGTCTTTTTGTGAAACAGCAGTCATCAAATTTAACATATTATCAAACCAGGAATGTCCAAAATATTTGCCTTTTATTTCACCAAATGACAAACATATATCTTTTGCAAAATATTGTGAAAGGTTGATCAATTTTTTGTCAAAGGATTCAATTTTAAAAAAAATTAATATGTACAATATACACCATATTGTGAATTTGGTGAAAATACTGGTAGTAATGTACCAATACCTATGTCATTTGCAAAAACAAACTCAGTTAAAGGGACTCCACTGAGGTAATTGTACATGATGGGACTGAAAATATTTTTTCCAGATTAATGTACCATCTGATGTAGGTTTAGACCACTAATATTTGTTAAAAAATTCAGATCATTCGCACACTTCGTTTTTCCAAAATTCTTTTTCAAATTGTAAAAAAATGACCCAAAATGAAAAGCGTTTAAACGCTTTTCACTCAAATCAGGATAAGAAAAGCATAAAATTTATTCAAAGTACATTTTTTAACTATCATTGCATACATTTCTGTTTGAAGTGCCCGAGCTCATTTATATAAGAAATTCGAATGTTATGTTTTTAGGCTTTTAAACCTCAGTGGAGCCCCTTTAAGTACAAAACGTCCAGTTCTCTTATATATTATCACTCGCATACATGTTTTCATTAAGTGTGTGTCAAATTGTTTTATTTGACAAAGTTTTTTACAAGTATCAATTGTAAGAATAAAAAATGTTTTCATCTTATGTCGACATATATATTTATTGTAATGTCAATAAGCATTTATTTTATATTACTCTATACAAGGAGAAACTGACTTACTTTATAATATTAGATACAAATTATTCAAATTACTTTATAGTATTAGGTACAAATTATTCAAATTACTTTATAGTATTAGATACAAATTATTCAAATTACTTTATAGTATTAGATACAAATTATTCAAATTACTTTATAGTATTAGATACAAACTATTCAAATTACTTTATAGTATTAGATACAAACTATTCAAATTACTTTATAGTATTAGATACAAATTATTCACAAATTATTCAAATTACTTTATAGTATTAGATACAAACTATTCAAATTACTTTATAGTATTAGATACAAATTATTCACAAATTATTCAAATTACTTTATAGTATTAGATACACATTATTCAAAATACTTTATAGTATTAGATACAAATTATTCAAATTACTTTATAGTATTAGATACAAATTATTCAAATTACTTTATAGTATTAGATACAAACTATTCAAATTACTTTATAGTAATAGATACAAATTATTCAAATTACTTTATAGTATTAGATACAAATTATTCAAATTACTTATAGTATTAGATACAAATTATTCAAATTACTTTATAGTATTAGATACAAATTATTCAAATTACTTATAGTATTAGATACAAATTATTCAAATTACTTTATAGTATTAGATACAAATTATTCAAATTACTTTATAGTAATAGATACAAATTATTCAAATTACTTTATAGTAATAGATACAAATTATTCAAATTACTTGATAGTAATAGATACAAATTATTCAAATTACTTTATCGTATTAGATACAAATTATTCACAAATTATTCAAATAACTTTATAGTATTAGATACAAATTATTCACAAATTATTCAAATAACTTTATAGTATTAGATACAAATTATTCACAAATTATTCAAATTACTTTATAGTATTAGATACAAATTATTCACAAATTATTCAAATTACTTTATAGTATTAGATATAAATTATTCACAAATTATTCAAATTACTTTATAGTATTAGATACAAATGATTCAAATCAATTATAGTATTAGATACAAATTATTCAAATTATTTTATAGTATTAGATACAAATTATTCAATATATACAATATTAACCAGTTTCAATAATTGGGGCCTCTTGTGTACGTTTATGCTACTTTTTATACATGACATGATTTGCACTAAAGATAAGTGAAAAATATTTATTCTGATTCATTGATTTATTAACCGATTATTCTGTTTTATTGTTGATAACCCTTCATTTTTATTTTATTTCTAGAAAAAGATAGCAAGAATGAAGTTGAACCCATTTTGAGAAAACATCAAGAAATCGAAATTATGCAGCAAGATGAATATCAACACTCGATAACCGAAGGTATAAATGTTGTTATACATCAAATGATTTTCACTCAAGATAACTAAACAATATTTATTCCGATTCATTGATTTATTTACCGATTTTTCTGTTTAATTGTTTATAACCCTACCCTTCATTTTTATTTTAGCGAGAGAAATACTTAGCAGGAAGGTATATTACCCCTTAGAGTTAAAAGGTCAAGATATTAAAAAAATGGAGTTTTTGGAACCTACATTACAGCAAGATAAACATAAGCTCTCTATAACCAAAGGTATCGTAGATGACTCTGTCTTACACAAGATACATATTAATATTATTTGTCATATGTTGTTGTTATGATCGGAATATCCGTCCCGTGATGGGCGGGTTCCCGATGGACGGATATTTCGATCAGAGCTATAAACATATGTAAGATATTTTTTCTTGCATATCTACCATATTCCATTAAATTTTAAACTCTTTATCTGAATGAAACAATTTTCCATGGAAATTTATGTCATTTCACTTACAACAGCGTATAAAATTACAATTTAATTTACAAAGGTAAAATTACATTATCCTAAGCATGCCATTGTACTGCACGCGATTCATCTGGCAACTCCAATTCCAGATGAAATTTCTGGCATTGGTAAAACAACGGAAATACCAGTCTGATATGCAAGAAAAAGAATTTAAAATATAATCAAATGTGGTAGAATATGCAAGAAAAAAAACATCTGACATATGTTTGCGGTTCGGATCAGATGTTTTTTCTTGCATATTCTACCACATTTGATTATATTCTAAATTCTTTATCTTTATTTTCAATGAAAATTTATATCATTACAACCGTAACTACTTACAACAGCGTATGAATTGCAGCTTCATTCATAACGGTAAAATGACGTCATCCTAAACGTGCTATTGTATAGCACGTGACTCATCATGAATCCCCATGTCAGATGAAATTTCCGGCATGGGTAGAACTCAAGGAACGCCAGTCTGATATGCAAGAAAACATCTTCCTTTTTATCAACTTTTTGTAAAAAATGTTTATATATTAAAAAGGTTAAATATGTGTTTAATACTGCTTAATAATTGAATCATTAAAAAAGCAATAGACAGAAATGATAAATATACTAATATGTCTAAAAGATAACATCGATTGCTGAACATTACTTCTTTTATTCATAGAATTACTCATAACTGCATGTTGCATGTAAAAAGTGTTACTTTTTAGGATTATTAGTTCACCAGTCACAAAGTGACAGGGTGAGCTTTTGTGATCGCTTTTTGTCCGGCGTCCGTTCGTCCGGCGTCCGTCCGTCAGTAAACTTTTACTTTAAATGACATCTCCTCATAAATCACCAAGCCAATTTCATCCAAACTTCACAGGAATGTTCCTCTGGTGGTCACCTTTAAAAATTACTCAAAGAATTAAATTCCATGCAGAACTCTGGTTGCCATGGCAACCGAAAGAAAAAACTTTAAATATCTTCTTTTAAAAACCCAAAGAGCTAGAGCTTAGATATTTGGCATGACACATCTTCTAGTTAGTGTCTACAAATTTTCTATAAATAAAAGCCCTGGGGTCAAAATTGGTCCCGCCCCAGGGGGTCATCGATTTTCCCTATATGCATATAGTAAAAACTTAAAAAATCTTCCTTTAAAGAACCAAAAGAACTAGAGCTAAGATATTTAGCATGAAACATCTTCTAATGAGTGTCTACCAAGTTTGTTCAAATAAAAGCCCTGGGGCCAAAATTGGCCCCGCCCCAGGGGATCATTGATTTTCCCTATATGCATATATTAATAACTTAAAAAATTCTTCTTTTAAAGAACCCAAATAGCATGAGTTTAGATATTTAGCATGAAACATCTTCTAGTGAGTGTCTACAAAGTTTGCTGGGTTCAAAATTGGCAAGCCCCGGGGGTCATTGATTTTCCTTATATGTGTATAGCAAAAACTTAAAATCTTCTTTGAAAAAACCCAAATAGCTAGAGTTTAGATATTAAGCATGAAACATGTTCTAGTAAGTGTCTACAAATTTTGTTCAAATAAAAGCCATGGGGTCAAAATTGGCCCCGCCCCAGGGGGTCATTGATTGTCCCTATATGCATATAGTAAAAACTTAAACAATCTTCTTTCAAAAAACCTAATGAGCTCGAGCTTATGGGTGTCTACCAAGTTTGTTCAAATAAAAGCCCTTGGGTTAAAATTGGCCCTGTCTTGGGTGGGGGGCAGATCATTGTTTTTCATTATATGTGTGAAGTAAAAACTTTTTTCTTTTTTCAGGCCCCGAAGGTGGCCCCATTTATTGCCTCCGTCGCATGACTATTTAAGGGTCGGAGGTCCATCCCTTAATAGTCTTACAATAATGTGTTAAAACATGAGGAATTAACATAGTAGTAACATAAGTAATTTATGGCATTTTTTTTTTGAAAAATTGAATATGTAAAGGAGGTTTTAAGTTCAAGACATAGAAAAATATTATTACATCTACATTATGCCTTAAACAAAAACATAATTACTTTTTTTATATTTATGAGTTATACACAAACTAATGATACTAATGGGGTTTACCAGGAGGCTTGACGATAGAATAAATAGACATACGAAAAAGGTTGATTATTTACAAAAGAAAACAACAATATAACACAACAAAAACATCAAAGACAAATACTTTGCGGCAAGGGCACGTTCAAAAATACTACAAACACGAATTTATTCTTCCATGTATGCTCAAACAAAGCTAGGTATGAAAAATGAAAAGACAAAGGTCGCTTCTAACACCAACATACAAACAAGTATTTTGATGATTTACATTAATCATTATCAGATTGGAACAAATAATTTGGATAGGTCTCTATTATATTATGATTAATGACATATATTTAAAATAGTATGCCAGTCTTTTTTAAATTGGTCAAGATTTCCACATTGGATAGCTTTTTCTTCATTTACCTTTAAAACATATGAAATATACTTTATAGCACCAGCAAAAGATAGCATTGTTTTATTAGTTTTATATTTAAAAATATACATTTTGACATATAAAAGAACTAAATTGTTTACAATATTTATTGTATTGTTTCCTTTAGTGTAACCAAAAAGCATAGTTTCTTTTTTCAAGTTTTGCATGTTTAGTTTATCTATACAAATTTCGTGTATTAATTTATTGCTGTGAATGCATTCCCAAAAGATATGTTCCATAGTTTCATATATATTCTTCCAGTATTCATCATCATTTGGGAGGCATAGTTTTTGTGACCATTTGACCTGACAAACGGGCTTGCTGAAATTGACATTAAGCGAATCATACATATATTTTGAGCATTTTTTGGTCTTTAATTATCCCTTTAATGTGTATTGGAATTGTTGGCAATTTTTCTCTCTTAAAAGTTAAAGGGTTGAAGCAGACATTTTTGAAAAAAAGTTTTGTAAATGCTTTTTTAATTCCTAAATATAAAAGATGATTGATATTTATATTGTAGATCTTGCCTAATTCTTCTGGTGTATAAAAACTGGCCATTGTCTTGTAAGATATCATAAATACAACGAATTCCTTTATCATACCAAGATTTCCAAAAAATACTTTTATTCCCAATAGTAATGTTCTGATTGTAAAATAAAGGTAAGTTACAAATGTCTTCTTAATCAAATTTCTGATGCTCAATAAACAATGAAAATGCATTTAAAGTGAGTTTCCAGAATTCATTTTTAATAGTTTTTTGACATTTTCTCGACATAATGCTTTCCACACGTGACTAATGTTTGTACATCAATGCCCTGTGTTAAAATACTTATCCAACAACCATCACTTGAAATAATTCTTCTTATTCATGTAAGTTTTAACGCATTCATAAAAGCATTTATATTTACCATTCTTAAACCCCCTTCCATGTAATCTTTAACTAACACATTTTTATTAATTTTTGAAGATCCATTCCAAATAAAAGCAGATAATGTATCATTAATTTGTTGTATATATTTATCCGAAGGATTCGGCAACATTATAAATAAATGGTTTAGTTGTGAGATAAGTATTGTTTTTATAACTGTTATTTTACCGATTGGAGTCAAAGCTCTTCAGTCTATTCCATTGTTTAATCATTTTTTCTATATTGGATATTTTTTCTTTAAAGATAAGATCTACCATTTTTTCAAGATCCACATGGAATGTTATACCAAGTATTTTGAAACTAGTTTCGTTCCAATTCAGTTTCAATCTAGTTTTTATGCTATCACTGCTGTACTTTTTAATGCCTATCCAAACAACCTTTGTCTTTTCAAAGTTCACCCTGAGCCCCGAGATCTGAGCAAAAACTGATAAAACATCAAGAGTGGCATTTAAAGATTGTGCTGTTCCATCTAACATTACAGTGGTATCATCAGCAAACTGTGACAATAAATGTTCAGTCTGTTTAATACATATTCCTTTAATATTTTCTACGGATTTCAACTTAAGGGAAAGAACTTCTGCACATAAAATAAATATATAACATGAAAGAGGGTCGCCTTGACGACAGCCTCGCTGTACATTGATAAATTTGGATAAGAATCCACATTGACAAACAGCTGATGTTGCATTTTCATAAAAGATATTAAACCATTTTTTAATTGATGCACCAAAACAGATAAGGTATTCTGTACAAAATCCCAAGATAGCGAATCGAATGCTTTTTCAAAGTCAATCAAAAGAAGTAATCCAGGAAAATCTTTTTTCTTATGCATAATTCATAATATCATATATCAGTCTAACATTTTCTCCGATATATCTTCCTTTTATAAAACCCGTTTGATCTTTGCTAATAAGTTTATTTAAAAATATTTTAATTCTGTTTGCAATGCATCCAGATCCAATCTTATATATAGTATTTAACAAAGTTATTGGCCTCCAATTCTTAAGAAAAAGTTTAGATTTATTCTCCTTAGGTAAACATGTAATTATTCCTTGTGTTTTAGTAATGGATAACTGGTTGACATTATATGCTTCATTTAGAGCTCTTACAATAAAATGTCCCATTTTTTTCCAGAATACTTTATAAAACTCGGCTCCAAAACCAGATGAGCCGGGGCTTTTGTTGTTTGACATGTTTTTGAAAACAAATGATGCCCCATGATAAGTTATTTCACCTTCTAAGTTTTGGCTTTCTGTATCTGTGAGTTTATTATAATTAATATTATATGTAAAATCATTAAAATCAATTATTTCATTAGATTCTCTTTTTTTTTAACAGAGCTTCATAATATCTTTCTGTTTCTTTTAAAATGTCTTCCTGATTATCAAT